AAAAAAAAAAAATGTATGGCCAGATGGTTACCTGATTTATAGCATGTAGCAGGGTAAGTGTTTATTAGCTGCTATAAATATAGGTCATGTATCTTCACATGCCTGTAATTTCATGAATATTTTCTGATGACTTGCTTTGGAAGATGTTGATGGCCTATTCAAAATGAAGCCTGAAAGCTCTATAATAACTTAACTATGCAAGATAGGATTCCAGGGATTCTTATCAGATTATTCATGTTTTCAGTTAGGGTCAATATCCTAAGGAGAATATAGAAAAAAAAATTGAGAGTTTAGAAGAAAGCGATCCACTGACATTGAAGAACTTACTTCTAAGACTTTTTTTTTTTTTTAAAGTTGAGAACGAGAGTTTAGAAGAATTACCCGAAGGGGCATTTTTATTGAATGAGTTATGCCAAATATGAAGAAAGGTTCCTGGTGACTACAACCACCTGATACTGGAAGGGGAACCTATAGTAGAATTTGGAATCTTCTACCCTAGAGGTCTTTGAAAAATAAGATTAAAAAAAAAATCAATAGGGTAGTTTTAAATATTTTAAAACACTATTTCCCAAGCCGAGTGACACTGTAGTTTGGGATGTTTGAAATACTCTGTTTTTCTCCCTGGAGATGAAGGAAACTCTGAGCACTTACTTGTTCTGACAGGACCAGGCAGGACTGGGAAGGAGGTGCTGGACTAGGGGCCAAAGGGTAGTTGGAAAAAGTCTAAATCTGGCTCAGTGAAAAAGCAGAAGAAATTTTAAAAAATACTCTTCTACTTCAAAACTTGTTTTCAAAATTAAGATAAATGATGCCACATAAATAATAAATTAAAATCTATCCCCCCAATTTTAAAATACATGTCTATTTTCTATATGGCCAATGCTATAGATCAGAATGTGGGAAAAGGGAAGGCCTCTAAGACCATGTGGGCTGTGGTTTTCACCCTGGGATCCAAGGGAGGCCAGACCTCTTTGGTCTAGTGAGGCGAGACCTGGCATTTAAACCCAGGTCTTCTCACTGCAGTCCTGTCTTTTTCTAGTACCCCCACACAGGCTGTCCTGCTTACATTAGAACTCCCCCATTGGATCTTTTTCACCTAGTTGTATTTTGCCTTAATTTCTATTAGGCCTGCCACACACTAAACAAAATGAAAAAGTCAAATCCCTACCGTCATTTTGCAATGAAGAGCCTGAACTAGAGAAAGATTAGTGACTTGGGTAACATTGCAGCGGCCCCATGAGGGCGAAATCTTTTATTGGGGTAGTTGTACGGTTGTAGTTGAATAGTGCAAAATGCATATTTTTTACATATACCTTGTAAGAGAGTGTGTTGGGGAGAAAGCCCATGATATTCAGGTGTGAATATGATGTTTGTAGGGAAAAGAAATGTTTGAATCTGGAGTTATCTTTGGTGATTGCATTTCACAATTATCTATTGCTTCACTAACCACATCAACACTTGGTGGCTTAAATGATAATTATTACCTTTCATGATTTTGAGAATTGACTAGGCTCAGCTGGATGGTCGT